TGTACTGGCATCTTTAGATAATAATCAGTTACTTTTCGTGGTAATATACAATTTAACTCGTGATTGTACTGCGATAATTTTAAATATACGTCATATCGGTCAGCAGTCGGTAGTATTTAAAATAATAATTTTATTTAATATGTATTTAAATGATGACTGCACGGTTTATCGGTGAGCCAGGCGAGGGGGGAACGTGCGACTCGCATTCGCCCTTCCACTTGATGTGTTGTTTTGATAACAATCCCCAAGGCTGCTTTCACTAACCGTCTAATATTGACACGTCAGTTTTATAACAACGTATTTATTTTTTTTCGTTAACGCGATTGCATATTATAAAACAAAATTATTAAAAAATGTAAAACGGTTACTTTTCATTGTAATTATAAATCAAAATTATTAAATAAATGTAAAACAGTTACTTTTCCTGGTAATATATTATGCGCGGTGCGGTGTTGTGATAGGGACAGCGAAAGCTAGACGGAGGCGATTCGAAAATCAACCAAATGTTGCATTGTCCCCCTCATCGTTCCGTGGGCAGTCGAAGTGTCCCATGACAGTCGAATACACTTTACGTATGTTCACTTTCTATTGGCAACTTTAATAATTAATAATTAGTTACGAGTCGGTTACGGACTGTCGTCGCGGTAGGATCTATCTGAGCGTGATTCCAGTTTTGTGCAGAAAGAACTGAGATAGGACAGTGGTGTTGGCTGCTTTTAGTATTTGAGCGTCTTGATCGCTCTCGAGCTTGAAAGTTTTTATTTTCTCTACGGTTTCAATAAACAGTTGAGGCATATATTCGGTTAACCTTAATCGAGGCGCCATGCCCACGTCCCCTGGGGAGGGGGGCCTCGGCGACGGAAATGGCGCGTCGGGCGCGTCTTTCTCTCTCAAACCTTCGAACTTCAACTTTAATCCTTCCTCTCCCGCTGACTCTGATCTATCTTTCTCTTCCACACCTTCTCACAGTGATCAAGTGCTACAAAACCTTTCGCTTGAAGTTTTATACAAAGAGACAGGCATAGCTTTGTCCCCAGTGGCGTCAGACAATGCAACGTCGTGTGTTCCGATGTTTTCTAAGAACAGTAACAACGATTCGGTTTCCGTTTCTCAAATATCTGCGGGATTAGAGGAAGCAATTGGCCCGACAATACACAAGGACTTATATATAACGTATATGGATATAGATGAGCAGCAGAGACAAAATAAGAAACGGCCTTTGCCGAGCTCTACAGAGGATGAAGATCTGATTCGGTCTTCACAAACCCCCCCTGCCAAGAAAAGCACAGGTGAGAAAGAAAGCGTAAGTAATTCAGGCCTGTCACATAACCTTCAAGCAAAATCGCATGTAACCTTAGACACGGATCGCTTAACTCAAGCCTCGAATAATCAAATTGTGTCGCGCTATGGACCACGGGATGCAGGTCCATACGTAGTTTATGTATACCCCACCGCACGAGACAATGCTTTGCATGCTACGCTTGTTAGCAGAATTATAGTTAAGGGTGACTTTCACCAACCTCGGTTAAGTCTAACCGACGGTTACATGATTGCCAACTTGACGACTGTAAACTATAGACGTGTTTCGCTCTGTTAGATCTTAACCTCTTTTGTTGCCGTCAATATCGTGCCTACTGCCTTGTGTCCGAAATTACTAAAAGTTCTTCAAAATCTTAATTAAAATTAATAAGATATTAAAGTATAAACAGAAACATGCAAAGAGAAAAGAATTTTACCCAAAAGGAAAAGAGTTATTTATTGGATTTAATTTTTATGTACCGTAACATAATAGAAAGTAAAATCACTGATCATTTAAACAATTCACACAAAGATAAAGCATGGGCTAGCATTATGCAGGAATATAATAAAAATATAGAATGTAAACGAACAGAAAAAAATTTGCGTTATTGTTGGGACAATATTAAAAAAGGGACGAGGAAGTACTGTGCCGCTTGGAAACGTGAAATATATAAGACGGGTAATAAATTTGTTATTGATATTTATAAATAAAATTGTTATTTAAAGTTTTTTTATTACATTTGTAGGTGGAGGAGTAATAAATATAGAAAAAAATACTTTGTATGAACGTGCCAAAGAAATCATGGGTGAAACTGCTACCCAAGGATTGCTAAATCCTTTTGATTCTGATTACATCGATGAAAATGTTCATAACAAAGAAAATATTATTGAGATTTTAGAGGAAGATAATGAAAATGATCCAGCGGTATTTTCAGTAAGAGATAATGAAAATGATCCAGCGGTATTTTTAGTAAGAGATAATGAAAATGATTCAGCGGTATTTTCAGTAAGATATGTTTACTTATTTAAAAATGCAAATTTTACAAAAATTTAATATACTTTAAATTTTCAATTATACCAGGAGTTTTGAGATTTATCACTCTGTTGCCGTTCATTCTTAATGAAGTAAACGACATAGTTCATGAAACGTTGGCTTCAAGAATGAACGGCAATAGAGTGATAACCTGCAAAACTCCTGGTATAATTAAAGATAATACCCGTGAAAGTCTTAAATGCGTTATACTTTGAATTTTTAGCATTTAATTAAAAATAATGAAATCACTGATTGGAAAACTTGGAATTCAAAAAAATTAAAATCACAAATAAGTGCTCCACTAAAAAATAATAACATGGAAACAGTATCGACACAGAAGGGACTTAAAAAAAGAAAATATGACAGCGATAAGGAATACCAAAAAACTTTAGATGAAGCTAAGATTGACTTAACTAATACTTTTAAAGAAAATATAGAAGAAAAACAAACTTATGAAATAGAAATATTAAAGCATCAATTAGAAAAAGAAAAACTGAAGATTGAATTGCTAAAATTAATAATTGATAAAGAAAAATCAATTAAACAAAATGAAGAAAAATCAAATGTTCATGTTACATTATAACAATTCGTTACTGATATTTGCCAAAGATATATGTCAAAAATGCCTATAAGGTATCTACTAACAATTATTATAAACTATTTTTTACATTTACTTTAAAAGTATTAGTTAAATGTCTGTGATAATTAGTTCTTAATTAATTTTGATGAATTATAAAACTTTTTTTATTTATAATTATAACATTTAATACATGTTATAATGAGAAAAACTTTTTTTTATATATGCAATGTAGGTATAGAAAGCATAGGCATACCTGAAATGTTATGTTTATTTTATATTTAAAATGTTACATGCTATAACATTTTATAATTATATTTTATTTTTTACATTTTTTAAATTTTGTGTTTTGTTCGATATAATAATAAATATTTATCGATTACGGCTGCAAATGGAAGCTTGTGAATTATGCTCGTCCTTATGAATCATGCTCCCTGCGTTTGAAATAATTGAATTAGGACACAGAAACGGCACGTATTCAGATTAGCCTGTAATTATTATTAAAACAAATTATATTACTTTTACATATTTTTGTTTAATTATTATATAGTCATATCTTTCAAATATATAATCATTACCTTCCAAAATATTCTACCATTAAACGTTTATTACCAATATTTCGATTATTTATTTTTATATTTTGCAATAACGCAATAGCATTATCGAATGCTTGGGGATTAATCCGATTTTGTTGAATATCGTTTTGGACAATATTGTGTAATACAGCAGTCGCTACGATAATGGGAAGTATATTTTCCACTTTCTGAAAACGCATTCCAATAGATAAAACTGCAAATTTTTTCTTCCATATACCAAAAAATCGCTCAATTTTCGAACGCGTTCTAATTTGAGCTTCGTTATAAAGATGTTCGGCTGCAGTTATCGGATCTTGTAATGGACACATTATATATGATAGATTTGGATACCCGGAATTTGCAAGGAGCAAACTATTACCAAATGTGCCTGTTTCAAATAAACTTTTTATCCTCGAATGATCAAAAATAGTAGAATCGTGTGTAGATCCTGGCCAACGTGCAACAATATCAATAATTTGTAATCTTGCATTAATAATTATTTGGATGTTTATAGAAAAATAGCCTTTTCTATTTCGATATAATTCGCTATCTTCTCCACCTAAAAAAAGATTTTAAAAAATACAAGAAATGTTTTGAAAAGATCTTTATATATTATATAAGGAAATTCTTTTTACCACATGATTAAATTCTTATATGAGTACAATCCATACAACCAATAACGTTAACAAATTTAGCAGTTTGAAAAAATTCTTCTTGATTTTGACGGATTTCTTCTACTGAGATAGGCAATTTTATAAATTCATTTTTTAATGAGGCAATAGCAGGAGATACTCGATGAATAATTCTTTGGGCACTTGCTTCACTTATTCCAGAAAAATCAGCAGCAGTTGCCAGAAAACATCCACTTGCATAAAATTTCAAAGCGACCATCAATTGTATCAAAGGTGGAATAGCATTATTACTATTACAAAATATAAAATAAATTAAAATATTGTTAACATGTATTTATAATAAAAATGTATTTATATCTAATGTAACACATATATATACATACTGATTAGTATTATGTTGTATTACATATTGAATTTTTTCTGACAACATTGAAAAGTTATGTTTCGATAATCTAAATCTTTTTTGAAAATCTACTTCATCGAATATATCAATGTAGTTCATACGTTCTCTAATTATACGCGGTCTTCTTTCATATCTTTCAGGATCATAATCATCATAATCATATTCATTAAAAATTAAAAAATTAATAATTTCATTCATTTTTCATAAGAAGTACTAATATGTACAGAAATGTACAAATTATAAAAGCACAGGTTAAAAATACTTTTTCGTTCTCTAATGGCAAACTGTGTTTAGTGCGTCGACAACGACTTACGATTACGATTCAAGTATCTTATTAAGAATATGAAGAACTTTTAAGCAATTTTGGACACAAGGTACGATATTGACGGCAACAGAAGAGGTTAAGATCTAACAGAGCGAAACACGTCTATAGTTTACAGTCGTCAAGTTGGCAATCATGTAACCGTCGGTTAGACTTAACCGAGGTTGGTGAAAGTCACCCTAAAGCGGGCATTCCGGATATAGTGGAGATCAAGAAAACCGGCAGAGGAAAAATTATGATAACTGTTATGACTGCCACAGGTGCTAATAGACTAGTTGAAAATTCAATTTTTGCCAAACACAACCTTAAAGCATTTATCCCTGCTTTTAAAGTTCTTCGAACAGGGCTGATCCAGGATGTTCCTCAACAATTTGATTTGGATACAATCAAAGAAGGTCTTGAGTCTCCCAGAGCTAAAATATTAAACATCCAAAGACTAAACAGAAAAATCACCATCGACAACAAAACAAAATACGTTCCATCCAGGACCATTAGGATTAAATTCGCCGGACAGATTTTGCCAAAGGAGGTATTTCTTTTTAAGGTTAAGCACGAGGTGCGCCCATACATCCCAGCACCAAGGATATGTCATAGATGTTATAGAGTTGGACATGTGAATAACTCCTGCAAGAGCAATCCCCGATGCAAATTCTGTGGAGATGATAGTCGCGGTAGAGATAATGACGCTGGTTGTCAATGTAACATGCAAACAGAAGCTCCCAAATGTATTAATTGCCAGGGCAATCACTGGGCTAATGACCGCGCCTGCCCCATAGTTGTTAAGCATCGAAGTGTTATCAACACGGCTGCTGTTGAAAACATATCTATAGCTGAAGCTAGGATAAGAATAGAAAATGGATGGGTTTCTTCGTCCTCGCCTAATAGCCCCCCGTTTGAAACTAATACCCGAAGCTTTCCTAACCTCCTTCGCGACAGCAGGAACTCTTCGTCTTTTGAGAGTGCTAATAGATTTGGCCTTTTAGGTGCAGCGGGTCTTGACAGGGAATTGCAATCCTATGCAGACGCAACTAGAACACAAAGACAACCTCAACCTCCCAGGAATTCACGTGCCGCTCCAAGGAAAGGAGCTTTTCCAGAGGAATTTGTACGTTCGTCTAATCGGCACAGGAGCCATCTCAACCCTCATCAACAGAGATATGACGAAATAGCGCATCGTCAAGCTTTAAGCGAGGTTAACGGTCGACCTGCCTTCGCATCTGGTAATGGCATAGCCTTTTCAAACAATTTCTTTACACAAACACCAACACAATCACAATCGCAGGATGATGGTGTAGGTAGGAGCAGTAATAACACGAACGCTAGTTTTGCCGAATTGTTGGTCATGACCTCTGAAATTTTTTCTCATTTTCAAAACAATAATTTTTCCAGCGCTTTTAACTTAATTATACAGCTTGTTAAAAACTTAAGTAAAGTTTTCTTCCAGCCTTCTCAGGCTCAGCAAACTAACAATGGGTCTTTCAGATATCCCTCAGATAATAATCATCATTATACTCCCACGCAACAATGGTGTGAAGAATTCGATTCGGAATATGAACATGGATATGAAGGAGATTTTCGGAAATAATTCTATTAATCTTCAGGAATCTAGCAACTTTGACAGTCAATTTCAGCATATTCGTTCGGCTTCTCCGCCGTCAGGCGGTGATTCTGGACGCCCGATAGGGTTGTTCCTGATGGAGCCGCCGTCATCTCCTCCTCTTGTCTCGGCAAGCTACCGCCATGCGACTCGTCGAAACATAAACCCTAAAACTAAAAAGGCTGACAATCAATTGAAAATTTTTCAGTGGAACTGCTGTGGCATTAGGCATAATC